CTTAGAAGTTCTGTAACACATAAGTTACGCATTTGTCTCCAATTGTCACCATATGGTGCAAATTCAATGTCCTTACCATTGTAAGTAATAATATTTATGGATGTTAGTTGTGGTTTAACAGCGAAGGCATGTTCGTGAATGTTGAAAACTTCTTTAGCCACAATAGGTGATGATATGACTACTGCAGGAATTTTTCCAAGTTGCAAATACATGATAGGCCCATACTTTCGTGCTAACTTTCTAAGAGTGCGATGTGGAAATGCTCCTCTCAAGTGATGGATACTTCCAATAAGTGGGAGTCTCCATGGACCGGGAGGCAACTTTTGTTCTGATTTTCTCCATTTGCCAAATAGAATAAAAAGGAAGGAGAAGAACATGAGGAGTGCAACAAAGTTGATAGTAGAGGAATAAGTCTCCATTTCTTAACAGTAACGAAGGACTTTTGATGTATATATTGTATTGCTTCGGCTAATTTTCGCGGTCTTTTATAATGGTTCAAACAGCTGAAGTCGTAAAAAAGCTAGCAAGACAGATTCAATGCGTAATAACTAGTTCAGTTAAATGATCTAGAGAAGCCATACCAAGGTATGGAACCAGGTGCGGTTATCAAGGCGCATTCAATTTATAACCACTTTCGTCGCAACTTACACTTCCTACTTAATTTTTGTCATGGCAAGTGAGACATTGGCAGTTGGTGAGCCTAAAAATTCATGCTGTAATCTTGCGCCGAATTGTCGTGTCCCGAACCTACCGATTGACAAGCCTACTACCACTTTACAAACTTAATGCAGTTTTCATAGTTCTTACTTTTAGAGACAAGTTTATCTCTTGCTTTTCTTTTCCTTTTAAATAAATGATTTATATGCACATAAATTTTGAATTAGCTTAGCTAGCATTTTCTGCCGTAGAAGAATTGATATATTTTTCTATAATAGAGTAGTAAATAACATGGTAGTTTACTTCCTGCAATGGATGATGGTCTGAACAAAAAGCTTTATTGCTGTCTGTTACCCAAATGGGTAAATCACCTAAAAACTCCAAGGTCAATGACTCAAGGCCAAACAGCTGAAGGTTAAGAAAACCAAGCCCCTGCGAAGGAATTGCAGCTCGAGTGCGTGGACGATTGCTCTCTTCATTGATATTGGAAAAGAGGGGGACCAAGTATCTTGAGATTTTATTACTGGCCGCTGGGGCAGTGGATCCAAGAAACGTGCAGCTTAAGGTCCTGTTGACCTGAATTTGTTACTATTATCAAGTAAAGATGAGGAGAGTTGAATGACGGAAGCATCACCTATTAAGTACTCCCTCCATGCCTCCATATACAACTTTCTAATTTAAAAAATAATTTTAGGAAAACTTTACCCTTTTTTATAGATACACAATTGCCATGATATGTTTGTTGAGATACAAGAAAATGACATTGCTTAGTTGGGTTGTCTTTCTTTTACTATTGGGCCCTGAGCCCACATTGTATGTATTTTATGAGTTATGGGCTGGCCCATATATAGAGGGAAATTATTATTTTGTAGATACATACTTTCATATTCATTTTTTCTGACGAGAAGAAATAACAGTTTTGGAAACTTCTGTCTCTCTCTATCTATCTCACCATCTCATCTTCTTCGATCTGCTCAACAATGGAGTTTTATCATGGTATCAGAGCCCAGATCTAGATAGATCGAGAAATTTTCTCTCGTACGATGTTACCCTCATTTATTTTCATTGGAGTTTTGAAGTTCCGCTGTCTCTTTGATTTTCTTAGTTTTTCCTGCGAGTTTTCATCGGTATTTTGAAGTTTTTTCGGTGTTAATGACAGAGATGAGTGCCTTCTTAATATCACTTCAGTTTTCTTGGTGACTTCATCAATCTTCTTCTGGTATTATCTGAAGGTTTTCTTCCGACGTAGGATTTGGTTGGTTTCTGCTTTTCCTCATTCAACCAGGGTTTGCACATCCCTGTGACTTCTGTTTTTACAAAGGGCGTTGTTCCTTCCAGTCGCGAAGGAAATTTGGTAACCCTAGTTATCTCTCCTTATTATTTTGTTTTGTGTGTGCATTTTTTCCTGATTAATTTTGTAGAAAAATGCCAAATAATGATGATTCTACATCTGCATTACCAACTGCTACTCCTGTCTCCCGTTCTACTTTTCATGAGGATGATTATACGCATCCATGTTATCCCTTTTATGTCCATCCATCTGATATTTTGGGGTCATCTTTATTTTCTGTACCTTTTGATGGTACTGGGTATGGGAGTTGGAGACGAACCATCCTTGTAGCTTTATCTGTTAGAAATAAACTGGATTTCATAAATGGATCTTCAATTAAACCTCCTAACAGTTCTCCCTTGGCGAGACAGTGGCAGAGGTGTAATGATGTGGTTGTCTCTTGGTTAACCTACTCCTTGTCCAAGGACATTGCTCATAATGTTGAGTACTCTAAACTTGCCAAAGATATTTGGAGTGAGTTGGAGGAAAGATATGGTCAAGCAGATGCTGCAAGGG